ATTGTATGATGGGGTCAGCCTGACTAGATATCCTGGGAGATGGTGGACGGACCGGGTCCGTAGGGAACCCTACCGGGATTGTGGTCTCACATGCCGGACGGGGTATGGAGATCTTATGGTTTTGGCGCCCATACCGGACGGGGTATGGGGACGGCCCGTTTCACCCTCATACCGGACGGGGTATTGAGGTTTATGGTTTTGGCGCCCATACCGGACGGGGTATGGGGACGGCCCGTTTCACCCTCATACCGGACGGGGTATTGAGGTTTATGGTTTTGGCGCCCATACCGGACGGGGTATGGGGACGGCCCGTTTCACCCTCATACCGGACGGGGTATTGAGGTTTATGGTTTTGGCGCCCATACCGGACGGGGTATGGGGACGGTCCTGGAAACTGATTATGAATGTTAAAGGTTAACGGGTAGCGGAACCCCTATGGACCCCCACGGATACTAGTAGGCTGGTAAATGAGAAAAAGATATGTTGTACAATGATTGAATTACAAGAGGCGTGATAAGTGTTATGTTTTACAGCTTAGATTATTCAATGATTATGATAATGTTATTGTTTTTCTCATATTGTTTTCATAAATTCCACCAAGGTAAGTGGATGGTCAAAGTTTTATTATTGATAAAAGGTTTTGTTGTTAATAAACGAGTTTATTGTAAATTATGCTCCATTGGTCTTTTTGTGGTTTTTTACCCACCTTTATCTCCGTGACGGTGAGATATCGTGATGTTCTTACTGGGCTAGTGTAGCTCACTCCTTAATTAACCATTCCAGATCAGGAAGACATGGTTCCCGAGCCCGTTCCGCAGGAGGACGACGAAGGGGATGCCTAGAGACTCTGTAGTCATACGCATAGTTTTATTTTCGAGTTTCTTTCTTAGTTAGTTTAATCTTTTATATTTTAAGTACGTTTTTGGTTTTTCGTGTAAGGGATGTTAAATGAAATTTTGATCTCGCTTCCGCATTCGATATATTTAAATACTCATTTCATTTTAATATTTTCCGGGGCCGTTACAATTTAGGCAGTTCAAACTACCGGAAAATGTCTACAAAGTGTCTGTTTAGATATTTTAATATTTTTATTATGTTTTTTAAACTCTCATTTGCTTGAATTAATTAATTGAATGCATGCATTATACTTATATAGTAAATATATGTATAACTTGTATGAAAGAAAAAGTTTGAAGAAAAAATATAAAAAATGGATTGTTCAATATAAGGGATTAAGTAGATGAAAAAAAAGGGTAGATAATGAAATAAATTAAAGACCAAGAAAAAAAAATTAAATTCAAGGTAATAGATGGAAGAATA